GGGGGGGGGGGGGGTTTACAGCAGTTATTAAAAACAAAACAACCCAAAAAATCTACTTGGGCGAGGTCCGAGCTTGGCTATATTCCCTGCTGAAACAGAGCTGCTGGTGTAAAAGCCCAGTGAGAGGCTCAAGTCCAGCACCTCAGGGCTGGAAGGCAAATAGTTGAAACGTGACATAATTTGCACGGGGTGGGGGAAGTCGGTGAAGCTCGTCAGAGAGAGGAGGAGAGAGAGGGCTGCGAACTCTCCAGCAGCTGGAGGGTGTTTACAGGAGGTGGGTACGTGCTATTCAACCTGCAACGACACGAGGGGTGATGCGGAACACGCTGAGTTCACTACGTATTTTTGGAGCAACTTACCATGAAGAACAACTTCTCAGAGACACAGAATAAAGATCCCGGCAACTACTTTAACGAGCAAGGTCACGGGGAAGCCGACGCATCGCTCGGAGCCGGACGGATCCGTCCGTAGGCGGAAGGGACGGAGCGGAGGGACACCAGAGCCTGCCCGAGCAGCAAGGCCAGGGCCACCACCTCTTGGGCTCGTTAGCTGCGTCCCAATCAGACCAGCAGCTCATTTGCGTTTCATTCCTCCTTTGGCATAAGGACTTCAAAGCAGTCCAAGAACTGATTCATCAAAAGTAAAAGGAACTTGTCAAAATTATTCGTACATGCATTTATTGTTAAAGGGAGCAAAAGCCAAAGAATGAAACAGCACGAGTTAATGTCGGTAAAACGATGTGCAGGGCTGAGAGGAAAGAAACAGGGAGGGGGGAAAAGCCGAGATACTGGAGTGGGGAAACCAACGCTCACACTGAAAGGTAAATCTGAAAACCAGGCAAGTTTGCGCTCTTTCTACCAGAGGACTTCTGTGGACAAATAGAGACTTGGGGGGTTTTTAATTTTCAGTGCATTCTGGCCAGGTTTGGGAACCTCACCAGAGAGATCTCCAGCACTGGGTTTCACTGAAAGTTCAAGTCTCTCATCTTTAAAAACCAGTAAAGCAACTCTAACTAAAAACGGCAGATACCCCGGTACTGAGGGTATCTAAAAAACACAGACACGTCACTGCTCAGGATGTACGTGGGCAAGAGGGTTACACTTTGCTCAAACAAATTCTGGGTGGAAAACTACCTTTTCCACCCTGGCTGGTCCGCACGGACCTTGTGGGGTGGAAAAGCAAGCCCGGACTCAGGTGCCTTTTGCTGCAAATACCACAGCTACCCACACCTGGGAAGGCTTTTTCTTCCCTATATCCTAAGAAGGCAGGATAACAGTCTATAAAATTCTTCCCAACTTAAAACTAAATAACGCAATTTGCGCCTTTCCCCCTCCCTTTCCCCCTCCCTCCCCCCAAGAAGATAAAACATTATAACTTCATTTAGAATTCATGCCTCGGATCCTAGATTTAAGGACTCTGTGTTAAAACTCATCCAATTATGGGAAGCTTTTATCCTGATCAAGGAAACGTCATTAAAATAGAATCTAGAATAAAACATTCAGAATCAACAATGCTTTTACAGCCAAAGCACTCAAGTGTCTCCTGATCTCTCTCTCTCTCTCCCCCTCCTCAAGCAAGAGAGCAATCCCTTCACAAAACCACAGGCTGCCTCCCGGGACTGGGTAATAACAAGCTGAAAAACAGCTTCCTTCCTCGCAGAAGTGCCAGGTTCTGCTGAAAGGGGCCGAGCACCTTCCACTCCCACCGCAACCAGCAGGAGTCAGGGCTTTTCAGCAGACAAATTTTTCCATTAGCAACAAGTCCAAGTTATTTCCCTGCAGTAAATCCGAGTCCTGTTTCCGTACTGTTAGGCCACCACTGGCTCAGAAATGGTGAGAGACTTCTAAAAACCCACAGGCAGGACCTTGGAAGAAGAGGCTTACGTGCTACGTAACCTTAGATCATCCGCTACGTTTGAGCCTTCGCTTTGTTAGCCGCTGACTGCCAACCCTTCCAAATCCAGGTGTTTTTAGTCCTTGCCGCTGTTGTTGCCGTCCCATCGCTCTTCCCCGGAGGCAGGACGTTCCTGAGCTCTGGCTTGGGGATCTACAACAATCACTTCCAATTGACGGTGGGATTTCAAACTTGCCTAACGTGTGCATTGCCACCTCGTTACTCCAGCAGCTCCGCCTGGACGACCGCGGCACGCGCTAGCAGTTTTTGACCTTCTCCACAGTCTCGTAGAACCCAGGCCTAACTCTCCTGATGCTCATCCGTATATGCTGGCACTCCAGGGGCATGGAGGCGCTGGCAGGAGACGTGGTGCACCGCCGCTTCCTTCTGCCCCGCAGCGAAAAGGCCGGAGCCCCACCGTTCTCCTCCTCCGCGGGGTAGGATTCATCCACGCTCGTGCCTTCGTCCGATTGCTCGTCACTCTTGTATTTCATTTCCTTCGCTTTGTTTCCTTCCTTCTCCTCCTTGGCGAGTTTTCTGAAGTGCTCCAGGCATTGTATCTTTTGCCTTCTTTCCATCATCTTCAGTTCTTGTTTGTCTGTGAAATCTTCATAGTACATTTTTCTTTCGCTTCTCTGATCTTCGAGAAATTTCCACTCGATGCTAGTCATTTTTATCCCACTGTATTCCTCCAGTTTATTCCTCGTCTGGGTGTCTGTGCAAAACACGTCAAAGAGCTGCTCCGAACTCTCGTTGAATTTGTCTGCTCGCTCGGTAAAAGCCTGGTTCTGTCTCTGCTTTCTGGTCTGATACAATCTGGTAAACTCCTCGTACATTTTGAGGATAAGTTTCTTTATATTTTGCGTGCCGATGGTGTGCAAGTTGCAAACCAACCAGTGCTCTTGCAGGTGCTCAGCAAGTAACTGGGCTGCATCCTCTTTGGATCGCTGGGCCTGGCCAGCTCTTTTGGGCTGCAATAAATACAGCATGTTTTGAACCACATCCTTCTTGGTTGGCAGTATTCCCTGGGTGAAGCCTGAAGACTCTACATATTCAACAGTTCCTAGAGTCTTCCGTGCTCTCACCTCGGTATCCAGTGATTCCATCACTGCTCGTTTATCTTGTAGTTATGACATAATCTGAAAGATGCAAGGGGAGAGGGAAGGGGGGGGGAACAAATCAAAGAGCAGTATGTCAAATTAAGCTTTTTTTTTTTTTTTCCCTGCAACAAAAATAAACATATGAGAAACCGTGCTCAGACCAATAAGATGTGGGATTTTAGGGTGTACTGCGTTGCCGTTGGACGGCTGCTGTTAGCCCAGCCCATTGAAACATCTGCATGTCGAGACTATCTCGCTCCTCTCTGCGGTTCTCGAAGCCTAATACGGCGTGTTTGTTTATGTTAATCGGGTTTTAATTGGGTTTTCGGACTCCCATGTTGTAAATGGCAGTAAATCGAGACCGCCTAGGGGCACCAGACTTCAACGCCGGCACGCGAAGGCGGGCATGCCTCAACACCAGCTGCACCACAGCACAGCTACACCGGCCGCACGCTTCCTCCTCCTCCACCGGGACGGGGCTGCCTAAAACGGGGCGAGCTCGTCTCCCCCGGGGCTCCTCCGGCCTT